ATAGGCTGTATATTATTCTGTTAAACATTCATATAAATTAAATGATATCATCTATGGTTAAGGCTTTTATGTCCAACAGATGGTGCTACGAGTATGACACCCTAAGTTTGCTTTTCTGTGAGGCATTATACTTTTCTGTGAAAATGAACTAAAGCAGATCATCATCTATCTATTTATATAAATAAAAATGTAATGTTTGTTTGTTCCTACTGATTCCTTTGAAATTTTGACACACTGCTGCATTCAAATATACATGTGTTTTTATATAATATACATGTCAAAATTCAACCCCACTGTAGGGAGATGGTTAAGATTAAGGCTTATGGAAAAGAACTCTGCTTCTATTTATACTATTTTAGATGCGGGTTTTTGCATTTTTGATTGCATTTTAACAGGGTACATCAACAGAATGTACACTAAGAAGAAATTTTTCAATATTCCCCCCGCAGGGGAGAGAGACAGGATTAAGGCTTACCGTGAAGAACTTGGCTTCTATTATACTATTTTAGATGCGGGTTTTTGCGTTTTTGATTGCGTTTTAATAGGGTATGTCAAGAGAATGTACACTAAGAAGAAATTTTTCGAAAAATTTCCCCCCTATGGGGGAAGTGTTATAAATTTATAATAGATACATTTTGAGCCACAACAACGCGTGGCAGGGTCTGCTAGTTATTCAATAAAAATGAAAATGGTTGCTTACTGACATTTTATACCAATTACTAAAAATAAAAAAAAATGCATTATATAAATCATTAATTGATATCAGTCAGTTCTCAAAAGTAGGTATACAGTTGAGAATCTGAGAAATACGAATGTTTGGTGTTCATTATCATCATCTTTTATTAGTTCGTATTCCTTATTTGTGATTTAATTTGTACATAAAAATGTTTTCTTCTTCCTATTTTCTCCCTATATGTTTTTTTCCATAACAACTGTATACCTACTTTTGCACCTTCCTGTATATATATACATATATATACAGTAAGTACATAAACACTATTAGTTTTTAATTTAAGAGCTAATTGTCAGTTTTTGTGCTACATTTACATCTTTTATGTAGTTCCAAGATCTTTATGTTGCACTGATGAAAAACTTTTTCAAAAATTGTTTTTTTTTTTTTTTTGACAAATGCACATTTTCTCATTCAACATTATTTAACTGTATCATTTATGTAGATTAATGAAATTAGATCTAAAGAAAAAGATCCGCATAACGGTATAACATTGATTAATATGAGACTAAAATATGAATACTGAAGAATGCTAAAAGCAAATAAGCACACAAAATGTGATTATAGAAATGAAAAGAAAAACTTGGACAGATTAGAAATATAGTGAAGTCTTAGGAGAAATAAAGTAGAGAAAAGCAAACAAGTGGAAGGAAATATAAAAGTGACTAATAAAAGTTAAAAAAGATTTATTTTAATGGAGTTTAAAATCAAAAATAAATCATAAGAATAAAAGTTCAAACTTATCTATCATCAAGAATGCTTAAAAAATTAGAATACTACTACTGTAGAAATTAACACCATGCACGCATGCATTTACTGTTTGTAAACAAAAAGCAAACAAATATTCAAATGTTATAATATATATATACATATATAAAATTAAAATTATATTAGATAAAAAAAATAAAATATTAAATTTGAAATATTATTATAGAAAATAGAAATACAATAATTAATTGAAGACATGAGCATATAAAGGTGTTATGTTACAAAATGAAAGTTTTAAGTGGATTGATATTCTTATTTTTTTTAATTATTTTGGTGTTAATATATCCATAAAAGAATGTGTTGCAGAGAGCACTACCATGTCTTTTAATTTCTGAGATCTTTAATGGTATTATATGAAAGTCTTAGATACAACAACCTCTATCCATGTAAGGACAATCTGATTTTGAATGATTGCAACAGAATACCTTCCCTTCATCCACTCATGTCTTCAATTATTATTATAGATCCCTAATATTTATTTTATGTAGGAATCATTCTAAATTTAATATGTTTTTTTTTAAACTTAATTTTTGTGTATATATTCTAAAATTTGTATTTGAGTTCAAAACAAATATTTTGTTCATTTTACAATCTCAAAAAAATTTAATTGTAACACGTTATATCTTGAGTAGTAACATTCTATGGACCTTTATATGTTTTTGATTATAGATATAAATATAAAAATATTACTGGTAGAACATCTGTTCTTATGTTATATTTTTGATCTTAAATAGTAATAATTTTTTAGAGAGAATACAGTTGAGATAAAATATTTCATGATAAGAATATATTTAAGACAGCAAAATATACTCTTATCATAAAGTATTTTAAGACAGTAAAAGGATATTGAAGTAGATATTTAACCCCATATAACACTGACTGTTGAAAAACTTCTGCATTTTAAAATATTTTGTTATTTTAAATAAAACATTTTAAAATGAAAAACAGTGCAGTAATAACTACACCTTATATACTTTTCCAGCAATAATTTAATTAAAACAAACATTTTCGACCCCATTCAGAAGTCTGCCTCAGGTTAAAGTTGAAAAAAAAAAATAATAGTAAAAAAAAAGTATAAATGACTGATAATTTTGATATCATGAAAAGTAAAATTTATAAGATAAAGTAGAAAAGCAGAGGAAATAGTGTGTTAACATCAATGATAAAATAAGAATTACTGTTAAAAACAACATTCCATGCAGAAAAAGTAGAAAGGCATTCTCTCTTCTATAAAATTATAAGTAACAGTCAAAAATAATCCAGAAAAGCAACAATTTATTAATTCTATCTTTAAAAAATGATAGAACTGAATATTTACTAACTGATATGTCAATATTCAATGTTGAAACAGATAAACAATGATATACAGTGTTACCTTGGTATACGTCTGCTTTAGAATACGTCCTGTTTGGACGAAACAAATTTTGCTTGGTATATGACTTGTTCGGTATATGACTTAATTCAATTATACACGCCATCTATGAACAAGTAGCACTATCAGTGTACTAGACCAGACTAGACATTCACGATGCAATAGTTTATAACTTTGTTAAATTTCTTCTGATTTTAATTTGTAAGTAAAATTATTTTTATTAATCATGAATTGCAAAAAGGCAGATGAAAAGCAACAGAAAACTAATAAAATGACTAGAATCACAATGGAACTGATAAAAGAAATTGTTGAGAAATATGGAGGTGGCATGCGTGTTCGATATTTTAACTGTTGCATACTGTATTCTGAGGACAACGATATCGACAATCATGAAAAATAAAGACATTATTAAATCTGCTAACGTTGCAAAAGGAGTTAAATCAATTTCTAAACAGAGATTGAAGACATTAGATCACGTTGAGAAATTGCTTTTGCTTTAAATAACTGAAAAACAGTGTGCTGGAGACAGCGTATCAGAAGCAATTATTTGCAAGAAAGCTAAAAAGATACATGCTGATCTCATGAAAAATCAAGCAGGAACTAGCCAGGAAAGAGAGGTGTTAAAGCCAGCCATTTTTTTCATGTGAGAATGGATTAATCATTTTTACATTACTTCTTGTGGGAAAGGTTGGTTTGGTATACGTCCAATTCGGTGTAAGTCCAAACATCAGGAACCGGTTAAGGTTGTATACCAAGGTTCCACTGTACATTAGACTAAAATAAAATTTTGAATAGTTTCAATTGTAAGAATTTTTATTCTTCAAATATAATAAAACCAACCTTTTGAGATTTTTTTTTAACTATTTGAGTAACTACAAAAAACCTATGAAATTGATACTATATATTAATATATATAAATTTATTTAGATGAGTATATTAATTTATATTTCATGCTTAAAAAGTATTACATCTATAAATGTATATGAATTCATTCAGTGAGGATCACATGCATTTAATATAATTGTTTTTTTAATTTATTTATTTACAATAATCTGGCTAAAGCATCATAAGAGTAAAAACACCAAAGTCTGGACTGAATAAACCCAGCAATGAGTTGCTCAACTTTCCCAGCAACATTTAAAAATTTAGTGGCACCATCTGTTATAAAAAGTTAATAAATAAAATATGGTATTTTTAACTATTATAAAATGGCAAAAAGTTTAATTTTGAAGATAGAGATGAGTTTTATAAAAAATTGTATATGCTAATAACAAGTAAAATTGTCATTAAGTCCGACCCTTTAACCACCAAAATTTAATAGCATCAATCCCCTGGTACCGTAGTTCTCAATCTGTGGTCTGTAAACACAGATGTTCTGTAAAGCCACTTCAAATGTTCTGTGAAAAAATCGAATATACAATTAAAAATTGTTGCAAAAAGAAAATTAATACAACATAAAATAATTTTTGTATGGGAATGTAATCAGCAAATGCCAATGTTGTCATCTACTAGACCAGTGGTTCCCAATTAGTTTTTCCTGCGTACCACTTCAAGAAAGAGCTCAAACTCGTATACCCCTTATAGCAGAAATTCATATTAATCCATACTAATATTATAAATTCGAAGGTAATTCTGTCTGTCATCTTTTCACGTCTAAACTGCAGAACAAGTTTTAATAAAATTTGGCACAGAGATAGCTTACATGTTGGAGATGGACATAGGCTACATTTTACTGCGAGAAAATATCTTACTCCCACAAGAAAATTCAATATACTGTAACGCAGGCAAAGCTGTGGGTAGACAGCTAGTGATAAATAGAATAAGTTTTTTTTACATTTATTACCTTTAAAATACAATTCTAATAATAATGAAAATAACATATGGTTATTTAATTTTAATGTGACAAATGTACACGATTTTCTTTGCACAACTTTGTAAAATCTGGTTGCTTTTTGGTNTAGTGAAGTAATGTAATGTTACACAAATTAGCTATTCTATAAAAAAAAACAAAGAAAAAAAACGTGGAGAGGAAGACAAACATTAACACCGCTACTTTTTTTAATATTTACACTAGAAAAAGAAATAGTTAAGCACCTATCAAAATGGAATTTGGTACGATCGCGTATTCTCGATATACTTGCTACAAAACAAGAATCTACCCGGCGTGATCTCGAATGACAGCATCGCGAATTTTGCTATTGTTTTTCACAAAAAGAAAAAATAATAATAATAATAAGTGTAGGTGTTACCGATGACGTTTTATTTTTTATGCGTTAACGAATGATTATTCCCTTTTTATTTATTTATTTATTCGATCCTCATTAATATCAGACGAATATGAAATCCGGTTTTCCCCCCTCGTGGCAAGGACATTGATCTATCTTCTCTTTCCTTATCCAACGTCCGTGGCATTGCGGATTCGATAGGGTGGCCCACCTTGTCGGTTTGTTGTGGATCCCGTGCCCGTTGCATCTGTAACCTAGATGTTTACGCATTGCAGCGTGCTCGCAAGTTACGCATATCTGAGATCCTTTCGTCATTACTTTGGACACCTCGTCTTCCATGTGATGGCACGCCTTGCGGACTTTAGTGACTTCGAACACGATGCAATACCTGTAAAGGATAATAATAATGATGTAAATCTCCAGGAAAAAATATGAAAATTGATCGACGTCACGATTTATTCTTTCGGTTTTCCTCTTTGATATTTTTATCGCTCGGAAAACAGGAGAATAAAGTGTTTTTAATTGTCCTCGAAGGAGAGTTACGACGTTGGTTTTAAACAGTTCTTGGTATCGGTTATGCAAATTTCTTTTTGTTTCTCGTGATTGATTAAGTAACTCGATTAACAATACCCTTTTTTTTTAAATAAAAATTTGTAAAGATTAATAAATAAACTGGACGTCATCGAAACTTCTTTTTTTTTTTTCGTTTGGTACCCGAACCAGTTTCGTAAATTCTTGGTACGCATTACATAAAGAACGCTTTCTAAAACTCTAGGGAAGCTTTTAGGGGTGATAGTTTATCGCGAAGGAGTTTGTTTATCCAGTCACGAGACCTGTTCGACCTAGTACCAGATAAGCCACCTGCGCTCTTCTATCCGAGAAAGGGGGAGGGAAATCCCTTCCCGGTGGAATTTTATCATAGCCCGAACATTCCAAACAAACAAGAACTATTTTTTTTTTTTAAATACTTACTCTTTGCTGCTTTCTTTAGCCGGATCTTTGGGGTAACGAAGTCGCAAGTTCTTTCTTATATCGTTAGTAGAGTTGGCTGTACGTATTTGGGAATACATGGATGGTAGAATTAAAGCCATTTCTAGAAAGAGAGAAAAAAATAATATGTTAAAAAATAATAAAAAAAAAAGACTAAAAATTCACGCGGAGATCAAAAACAGGAAACAGGAACGCATTAACATACAATGTAAAGTTTTTGTGTTGCTAAATATATACGCCCGGTATCGACTTTAGTGCTGATTCATGTTCAGATTAACGTATATGGTGTGACTGCACTTTTCAGTTTTTTTAAAATATATTTTGGCATATTTTTAGAAGAAAAAAAATAACTCACGAACGGATCTTTAAATAATTCGTGAACTAATTGTATAATTTTAACAAATTACCGTTACTGTTTGCGAATTTCGGACGATTCCGCCGAATGGAAGAAAGCGCTAACAACACTTTATAAGTAAAATAACCGTTGTTTTATCGTTAGCATAATTTAACGAGCCGGCAACAAAAGGAGATTGCTGTCGATGGGGGGTGGTCCACTTCATAAATTGAAGAATTCCAAACACTACATAAATAAAGTCATAGGAGGCATACTTTTTCCCATGAAAACTATTAATTAATGCCCCCTTCCCGAGTTTAAAATTCGACTATTTTCTGTGTTTATTAGTAATGGTTTTCATTATCTATTAATAAATAAAGTACTGTTTAAAACTAGGTTTGGCGTACGAAATCGTTTTGTGTATTGGTATTATTTACGTTATCGAATTAATATTTAGTTTATATTCGACAAGTTGCAAGTCTTGCCGGTTGAGTGGACACGTTTTAGAAGTCCTATCCATCAATCTAGTTATCGGCTAAGGGTTTTTGACTGGTCATGTAAGATAAGAAGATTGTATCTGTACCATGATTGATAGAATAACCATATGCGGCATTGAATTTCTCACCGACATTTTTTTTTTTACCTACACTACAATCAGTTTCGCTAAGGTTCCGTATAACTTTTTAAATGGTTAGTTCCAAATTCGTCGTAAAAAATTCTGCAATTGTGCAAACTTTTCCGAGAGGTTGCCAATTTCTGTGACGACTGAGCGGGTAAATAACCAGAGCGAACGTTAGTTCTTGGCATAACGACCTTTGGCGTCATTTCTGCCGATAGTCGAATAAAGTGCGCACTTTATTGTTTATAAAATCTATATGTAATAATGGAAGGTACAGTACTTCTACTCTACCCGAAAGAAGGCGATGCTTTCAAAAATCACGTGACGCGATCACCTGCCAAAAAGACTGGGTATTCAGGTCAGGGATGCTTTGGATGTCAAAGAATGAGGACAGTCATTAGGGGTGTCTGCTCCTTAACCCGTCGGATGGCTTTGTCTGAATGATTTATATTTTTATCGGGCCGTAAAGTGTAGCGAGTCAACATACTTTCACATCGTTCGGCTTCACTTCTATGCCCGCGAGTAAATAGGATCAGATAGCCGCGCAGGATATGTCCATAAAAGCAGCGATTGAGGGATTAAAAGTATAAATCATCTCCGTGAGAGATGAATTTTTTTTTTTTCTGTCTTTGGTCGTAACGCTACGCATTCGGATGAACAAAAGAGGATCGTTGTCTGTCCCAAACTTGCGACCCTGGCACAGAAATGTCGTCTAACGAACAACAGAAACACAAGTCCTTGGGTCAGCAACCCACGAGCCGCGTGTGGGAAGAAGCGACAAGTTGCCACCCTCCACGATGTCCAATAGATTTTATATTCATGATATATAACAAGCGAATTCCTTTTTTTGTAATTTAAATGAAGCCATCCCCTTCTCTCTCTCGCGAGTCTTTTTTCCCCTCGGTATAATTAGTTTAGAAGTATTTATGAGGTCGTCAGTCTCGAACTGCATCCAAAATCGCCCACTATCTTACTTTTTAACACGCCTAAGGTAGACCGTGATTAAAGTTGTATGGTTATGTTTACATTTCGCAGCGTGGTCGGACTCCGTTTCCGTTTAACGATGGGGAAATTAAACGTCCGAGTTACTTTCGAAGAAATAAAACGCTCCATTTTTCATGGGATAAGGGTGTGGTTGTACCAGGGTTAAAACGTACATCCCAATTACTCCGTGCTATATAAGTCATTGGAAGAAGAATATATGTGCGCGCGTACCGTAGCAATAAGCGAAAATATAAAGGTGTGTTCTGTAATTTTAGTCCATAACTTACCTCTGTGTGCTTTAATAACCGATTTAGTTTCGCAACGAGTACCCAAACAGCCTCTTTTCTGAATTAATTCCGGACAGTGTCGTCCACCGTTCTGAGGATGCTGAATTATATTCCTTTCTCGACTCATGAAACCCGTGCCACAGTCCACGTTGCACGAAGACCACCGACCCCATTCCGACACTTCGCAGTCTGTCACTAGACAATATATATATATATATATATAAAGTCCAACTCAAAGACTGGAAAAGCTCCATGCATACCAGGCAAGAAATAGTCATTTCAAATGATGTCTTTTAATGTGTAGTCTCAAATTTTCAAATCAGGTTATATAATATCACTGTGGAGAAAAATGGAACACACTGTCACATAAATTCTTTAAAATACAGATTACAAAATGCTATGGATAATATTTTTCTTTCTCTTCACTACAAAGCAATAATGCATTTATCTTGGTAGGTATATTTTGGGACACCCTGCATTTCAAACATTAACATTTTTGAAAAAAGTTAATAGTAAATTACAATTTGATATTCTTTGATAGTTTATTCAAAGCAAAATTTGATTCTGCTTTTCTCACCAATTATTTTTCAATTTTTAAATCTATTAAAAAAGATTTAGAAAAATTACTCTTATCTTTTTCTATTTACCAAAGTCAGGTATTTATGAAAATTATATTAAAAGTATAAATTTTGATAAAATTTATTATTCCTTTTTCTACTTTCATGACTTTTTTATTCAAGGTGAATTTTAAAAATAATAATATACCAATTTTAAAAGACAAATTATTTTTATGTAAAGTAATGGTTTTAAAGTCTTTTAAAATCGGTTTATTGTTATTTTAAAATTCACCTCAGATGAAAAAGTCACGAAAGTAAAAAAGGATAACTACAAATTTTATCAAAATTTACATTTTTAATATAATTTATCAATTTTTATTTAATATATTAAATTTTTTAAACTTTGTAATAAAGCTTATACATATTAAATAATATACAGTCAAACTGCCTGATATAGCCTATAGCACCATTCTCATATAACACCAACAAATACCTATAAAACAAATCATCTTATAAATACTAATTCAAAAACTCTTCAGTAAAACATCACCTTCACAAACTCACATAGACCATATTTATAAATTACTAGCTTACCCGTTGCACATTGCTGTGATCTCAGAAGAAACAAAATTCAAGCAAACTCATTATGATAAAATTCAATTTATATTTTATCATTTTTATTGAAACTTATTATTTTTTTTCATCGGGAAAACATTTCAAAGTGTCGTTTCAATTCTATTTATTTATTGGAGTGCTTGTGGATATACGATATTTTTTGTTTTTCCGTCTGGTGCGTACATGAATAAATCAGAAGGTTTTCCGATGCGTGAGCTGGCCACATACAGTTGTCTATGTGAAAAGCACAGATTCTCCAAATCTAGCCCACACACTTGCAGCGATTGTCAGAAGTGCAATATTCCCCATTTTTTATATATTTTTTTTAATCCTTTACAATTTTAATTATTTAATTGCTCCTTCCTCTCTTCCTTGGCATGTTGTGAAATTTCTGATAGTTGGATAATAAACCGTTTTATTATAATTTGTCTTTTTAAATTATTTTGAGTTGATATTAAAATTTGGAAAAGGGGGGATCCCTAGATCGGTAAAATAGACGAATTTCCTCCTACAACTTCAGTTGTTGTTTGGGATACAGTTAAGGTTTTAACAAAGTTCGAGCAAATACATAATTAGCAAAAAATAGTTGAAATAAAGTGATTAAACAAAAATTATTACAAATATCGTAAATAACAGTTCACAAATGCATATATAGAGATTTTTTGGAGGGAGGAAATGGTCTTCACAATTTGAAATCGATTGAACTCACGATGAAATGCTCGTATACATTTGCGCCATCTATCGTAGGATAAATGTACTATGCCAGAAACCTTCGTGGGAGTGTATTAAAAAACTTCCCAAAGCTTCATGGCAATCATACTATGCCAGAAACCTTCGTGGGAGTATATTAAACAACTTCCCAAAGTTTCATGGCAATCAGATAAACGGTGTGGTAATGCATTAAGGACATACACAGACAGACATTCATTTTTTATATATATAGAAGACTAAATATGCAATTTTGTGTTGCAAACAACATTGTTATTACTAAATTATGATTTTCAAATTCAAACTAAAATTCTGTATAGAAACCATTACTCTATGTAATTCTTATTGTTTGTGCTCTTCAGTTCAGTACCCTATTCAACTTAGTGTCAATTTTAAAGGCAAACAAATGATGATACTAAATTGAGGTTTGACCTGTATAATTAAGCCATTAGTAAGTTTCAGATTTATTTTTAGCTACTAATAGAAAAATCCAATTGCTAGATGTTAAATCATTTCAAATAAACAATAAAATATAAATTAAAAATTAACAAAAAAATATAAATACATCTATCAAAATATAACTATATAGTCCATACACATGAACTGAAAACAACAGTAAATATTTAATAGCAGTTTTGGAAGATATATTTGAAAAAATATTTAGAATTTTTATACTACAGATTAATCTTAAGTCAAAAATTTTTAAACTCCAAAACATTTTGTAGTTTAAAGATTCAACTGAAATGTATGCTATAGTATTTACATTTCCTTCAGTTTTGTATGAATTTAGAACTTATAAACTTTTTAAATATACTAAAATTTGTAATAATTAAGAAATAAGTGTAAAATCTTATTTATTGTTTTTATAAGAAGTTAGTTTGTCCTATTACCATATATTTCTAAAATTTGAGTTATTGAGTTTAATTTTTATTTTATTAATGCTCTCTAAAGATCATCACTTTATTCTGTTGGTTGATAAAGTGATTAGAGTCACTGAATCTGATCTTGCGTGATTAAACAAAAAATTGCTTTATAGTATTCAGCTGCTTAATGTATACAAGACAGTATCAACTATTAGTGTACTGTTCTAATTGATTAATCGACTATTGTCAGTTCATACTTTAGTCAACTGTTCAAAACATGACAAAAATAATTATAACACTACTGATTCTTCATTTAAAAGTTTGTTTTAATTTATAAAAATTAGACTGTTTTATTTNCTTTGCCCTATTTTTTATTTATTTATAAATAACTTAGAAAATTGAATCAGTCATTGTTTTCAGATATTATAATTTTAATTTACAATGAATAAGGCATTTAAAACAATTTTATAGCAATGTCTTTTATTTTCAAATTTTAAATAATAATTAAAAGCTTTGCTTTCTATTATATTACTCATTAAATCTGGAATAGTTACATTTGTACATTTCTGAATTATTATAAAAATATAACACATTAACATAAAATCAATTTCAACAGATCATTTTATATGAAACTTAATAACTGAAAATACTTATCAAATATTCATGTGATTTATTTAGAAAACAGTTATGTCTAATTCTAACAATTCATTATTTTGAAAACTCATTTACACAGTTATAAATAAGAGTACAAATAAACACTATAATGATAATGTGATAACTTTTATCATCATTAATTTTATTCTTCTTGAAAAATTAAAATATTAACATATTCACACTACGACAAAATTATAGTCTTACTCTTTCCAGCAGATAATTTCAGTCTTATTATCTACTGGAAAGAGTGAGTAAGACTATAATCTTGTCATAGTGTGAACTGAAGTTCCTGCTCAAATGATTAACATATCCATAACGTAACTTATGACAACAAAACAAATAATAATAAATTGTAATATTTAAAATTATGCTCAATTATTAAAAACTGATTTATATCCCAAATTGCATATAGGTGCAGTTTTAACTTTTCTTCAGATTCACAAATAGATTAAAACAAAGTTGCAGTATAAAATTTATAGATTACCATCAGTATATTTTTGATCATCAGATTTAATTAGTTCTGTATTTATTTACTGTTTTTGTTACTCAATAATTTGTCTTAATTGGTAAGCAATTATGACACTTTTTTAAAATTCTTTTTCTTCATAATTTAAAACCTACATCCTTTTTGTCTTTGTTTTTAAATCTAATATCTAACGTTATAATAATTACACTCATTTTGTTTCCAGAAATTAAATTATTATACTGAATGACAAATTACTTGATAGAATTTATGCACGTTTCCAGGTATAAAAAAATTTTAAATATTTAAATAATTTCAAAACAACAATTACTGGGATTACATCTAAATATGTGATATAAAATAAATTTAATTAATATGCAACATGTTCCAAATTAAAAACGACATAAACGTAAAACAAAAAACAAGTGTAAATCACGCATAACAACACTGATAGCTGCCGTCCACAATACCCCAGAAATTCAATCGGCCATCAAAACGTCCGGATTTTTTATATTTAATTTTCTTAAGTGACACATAAACAAGCTATAAATGAAATATTGACCGTTACAATCTATGAACGAGTTCTATTGACCATAACGACCACAATATATGAATTTTCGACGGTGTCAAATTTTTAAAATAAACTATGAAAATATTAGAAATATTCCGTGCTAGTTAATGATAGCGCACTATTAATATCTATATAACGTCAAAATTATAATTACTCTATCCCGTAACATCATTTTAATGTTTATTTATTATTATTAAAAATATGCAGGAAACTTTTTAATGTAATTATTTTAGATACATATGCTTAAAACAGCAAGAAACAAACGGAGAATAGTTTTCTCAGCACCGAATAGCTTGACCTATTTCTACGAAACAGGTTCTACTGAGACTGGACGTGACGGATTTTATTACATCGAGAATAATTAAAAATAATTATTTGAATATTAAATCATTTCTTTAAACTTTTAAGAAAAAAAATAAATAATTTTCGCAAATATAAACTACAAGTTTTAAATGATTAATATTCACAAACAACTACATGTGGGTGACGGAGATGACGTATTAACGCACAGGAATGTTACCGTACAACTCCCGCACCCAATGCACACGATCATCTAAGTAAGTGCCACTGACATCCTTCGAGTTTTTATATTGAGACAAATTACACGATTCAAGAAACTCATAATAAAACGACTATTTTTGGAGACAATCAGATCGGCAGACACGGGACAGGAAAATAGGGAAGTTGAGCCGGTCCAACTGGAAGATCAACTCTTATTTTCGTTTCATTTTAACTTGTCTTTTACGATATGGTACAACAGAAATTAGACTATTAGTTAAGAGACATGGCTATAAACAATATAAAATTCCAAAATTTTCTTTCTAAAAACCGGATACCGCTAATACACAGAAATAAACCTGTAAGAACATTCAATTGACAGACAACTTCCGCATGTCCGAAAAACGTGGTCAAGGTGTACCACTTACTAAGTAAAGAAGGCCAGTTAGCATCGACTTGAATTCAACTCAAGGTTTTTCCAATATAAAAAGTTCGTCTACCTCAACTATATCCCTTAATTATTTTGTCTTCTTATCCTCCGGATAAACACGAGCATACAAAGAAACAAATGGCCATTATAATGCAAGAAAATTCCATATTTATTTACATTCTCTCTCAAGAGCATTCCGACGAATAACATTCGACTTAGTAATACTTATTTTTCTGCTACGACGTACACGAGAATGCAAGTGGACCGAACACTAGAAAATGGAATAAGCACCTGTTCACTCACCAAATTATGCAAAGGCCTGGCCGGCTGAGCCCACGTTTTCCATTTCAGAAATTGAGGATGGTGATAGTTCCAAGCGGGCCCGATAACATGCAAACTTCTACTCGGTATATCGTACTTGGTGGGCATTTCCTAATAGAACAGAAGCAAGCAACACGAACACAGATTTACGACCATCGTATGTCTACGGCAGACCATCGACAATTTGATACTGCGCGATTGGCGGAGGCGTTGCCTTGACTACGTGTCGTTCGGTCGATGGGGACGAGGTTACGGCGGTTACTACAAATGTTACAAATACAAGTAAATTTGTAGTAGTTAAATAAACTATCGCCGGGATATCTTAAAACAAACAGATCCTTGGGCAAACCGAGACAAGAATCAAAATTCTGTAAATGTTTATACTTTTCGCTATTTATATTAAGTAACTATTTATTTATTTTTATCCTAGTGTTATGATAGCATTGCGACATTCTTGAACAGATAAACTTAACGCTGCTTGT